GGATACGACCCGCGGGTGTTATGCCTCTTACATTTAAAGTTTTGTAGAGTAATAGTTCTTATTGTAGAAATATATGTACAAATACATATATCCTTTTCATAACAACATGTTTCTAGACAAGTGTTTTTTTTTTTTATAACATAAGGTGGCAAACGAGCAAGCGGCCACCTGAATCCGCCTAAATGGCGAAGCGACTGCTGCCCATAGACATCCCCAATTGCAGATGCGTTTTTAGATAATTTTACATAACAAATTAAAGTTGTATACAAGTCACTCCAATAAATGAACACTTATAGGTAAAGTTTTTAGTGCTTACTTAGATTTAAGTTAAAGTTTGATGGATCGTATAAGTGTTATCGGTTTGAGTTTTATTTGATTCTTATAGTATCTTTATGAGTTAAAGGTCGTTAAGTGTCCGATCGTTTCGAACGGGTTTTTAGTTAAAAGTAGTACTTCGATTACTTAATCGTAAACTTTTAATAGTTTAAAAGTTTGTACTTAAGTCCATGTTATCCGCAAACACAATTATTTATTAGATACTAGCTTTCGCTCGTGACGCCGTCCGCGTAGGAATTTAAAAAAAAAGTGAGTAGCCTCTGTGTTCTTCCAGACTATCCCCTACATCTAGTTCAAATTTCATCGAAATCTGTTCAGTCGTTTAGGCTACAAACTCTAACATACATCCATCCATCTAAACATTCGCATTTATAATATTAGTATGATGATTTTATTTGAAAGATTGAGACTATTTTGTTTTAAAATTTATTAATATCATCCGGTAACCTTTAATTTATTTTCTGCTCGAAGACATTTAGAAAATGGTTGCCCAGGCCGCACTCGACCCTTGTTACCGACCAAATCATTGTGTCGAAAGAGGTCAAGTAAAATGAATTTGTTATTTGTGCGATTACCTAAGATTGCTCAAGTTCTAAAAGCGTTTTTATGTTTTATACTTCTAGAGTATCACCAAAGTTCGTTATGAGTAGATGTAATTTCAGTTTCAAGTATATCCAAGAAAAAAATCAAAACTTTGGACAGGAATTCACAATAAACTAACGCTAAGAGGCCCTTAATGACTATGAGATGTAAAGGGCCTGTCCTTAAATTATACATTGTCTGATAACAAACCAACGTGTTAAATATGTAATGGCAATATCAGATTTTGTTACCTTATCTGACAGTGACGTTATTTTTAAGCTCTTTAAGCCTCAGCCAGTGGTGAGACAGGCCCTAATTGGTTAAAAAACACCATTAAGAATAAGATATTAGCTAATGAGTTTTCCAAAGAAAGTAATATTTTGTTTATATCTAGATAAAAATCCCATTTGATAAAATAAATAAAGCAATAAAGAGACTTGAAACGATACGCTTACGTCGTGTAGAGGCGACGTGATGTTAAATGAATTTATAGTCCGTTCTTCCGTTTGCAGACATCGATATTCATTGTGCGTTATTTGGACTCCCCCTTCGTCACTATAGAATTAATTTAATATGAGAGTCGGCTCTTGTTCACGAAAACAACACATTTATATTGAACTGCCTTTGGAAGTAGCTTTGTAATATTACTAGCTCTTCCCGTGCGACTTCATCCGCATGGAATTATAAAAACTTTTTTTATAGTTTATCAAATTCTCAATTACAAATGTCCAAATTACCGTTACCATAATAATCTTGCTTCCTTAATGTTGGCAGCTTGTAGTTAGTCCATTTTACCCCTAAGCAATAGCGTGAAAGTATATAGACTATAGCGTAGGTGTAGGGCTTTTTATTAAAGAAATAATTATTCAAAATAAACTGTGATTCCTGACGTCTTACGCCAAGAAGTATTGTGTTTAAACTTTATTATATTAGTATAGATTTAATGTGGAGAATAGATATTTTAAAAACCTTATTTTATGTTATAACATAACTCATGTAGGGTTGTTTATACAGACCTTCTTTGAGCACTGAATATTGGCAATTTTGAATGATCGGTGACGGGTAAATAGGAGTTCACTATTAGCAGATTTCAAACAGAAACTGTTCGACCCTAGGTACGTTCTGTACTTTTTTCTATTATGAAAACGTTACTAGAAGAAAAAAATACACTGAAAATAACTAATAATTTCAATAAAAATAGTTAATGCTCAGATCCAATGAAACTGTTAAGAAACAAGTTCTTTAAACATTTCAACGTTTCTTGATTTTTTTGTTAAAAACTAGACGAAGAAACATCGCAGTGAAGCTAAAGACTTTCTTAACAAACTTAATCTAGACAAAAGCATTAAAAAGTTTTTCTTTGAATAAAATCTTTAAGTGAAAAATAAGTTCAAAACTATCTTATAGATTATTTTCGATAGAATGGATTTGATTTCTTTTACCATGAAATAGAAACATAGATTTAGTTTATTTGTTAAGCAATCATAGATGGCGCTGATAACAGTTGTAAATATATTTGCATTCATTTAAAAGTAAAAGCATATGTATATTAATTAGTAATATGGTTTATGAGTTATTTATTTTAATTGTTGAAATTGCAAAAATATTATGGATGAATATTTTATTTCGTACTGGCCGCCAGGAAAGCAATAACAATAATGTGAATTAAAAAAAAGATTTTAGGCGCGAATGAGAGTGGCAAGTGTGAGTGTAACAACGTTTTTATTTTAATAAATGCGTTTTCACTATTATTTGGAAGTAACTACTGTGTATCTATCAGCAAATAAAGAAGATTTCATCAATGTAGTCTAGTACCATTTTTTTACATTATACATGGTACAAACAATCCGAAATTAATAAACAGAAATATTTAATTAACAGTACCACCATACCAGAACTGCACCATGCGAATTATATCAGCGGAAGATAACAAATTGTATTTAAATAGATTTTGGTTTTAATCAAACAAACGTAATAGCAGTCAGGCGCATAAAAGATTTCGGCGCCATAATTGGCGTCCCGGGCAATCGCGAGGCGACGCCTGCGCGGGGGGAAAGAAGGAGGTGAGGGCGACGAGGCACGGGCGACGCATCACGCGTGCGTGACGTCATCCGTGCGTTCCCGCCGTTCTATTTTCAAAAACAAATAATTAAAAAGCAAGTGATTTTATTTTAGGTAAATAATTTTACAGTTTTACGGTTTTTTTTATTGAAACGTTAGGATTTATTTTAGTACAGTTATTTAGTTTATTTTGTTTTTATTTCTTGTACACGATATTTTATTCATAATGTCTTAAGCTGGGTTACTAAAAATTCGATTTAATTATTGAAATAGGGAACATGACAAGTATAATAAGTCTCCTCAATAACGTTTTACATAAACGTCATTGTTCAGCAAATAAAGAAGATTTTAATAATTAAATGGAGATGAATTATCCCTATCAATTGTTCTCTTCGTGTTTAAATGACTAGGTAGCATGCTTTATAATTAGTAAATAGTCGGCGAGCTGTAAATTATATTAGAGTATTCAGGAAATTAAACTGTTTTGCATATATGGTTACGCGATAATAAAGTTTTTGAACGCTACATTAATCAGTTTTCACTTTTAAATATATTGACTTGAACAGGGTTTTTTTCTATCACGATTTACGGCCGAATGTTGAAACGAAACGTAACAGTGTCGTCATCTATCAGATTGTAAGCGTTATCGAAGCGATATGTTTAAATTCGTTCCTGAATTCGATCGTTATATTATTGTGACTCAAATATCACATGAATAGGTGGCTAATTTTAATCGTGTAACCTTTAAATTTATTTTCATTAGCGAAAATTAAAACAATCCAAATCTCATTAAAATGTTAACAAGAATACTTCTTTAAGTAATGAATTAATGAATAAGTTAATTTTAAAACTTTTTGACCTTTAACTTAAGTACTTTCGAAATTAAACCTGAAGAATCTTATAAGATGATTTCGTTGAATAAAGATGGACACATATTTTATTAATTTTAATTAGTTATTACTTTTTAAAAATTAAATTAGAATCATAAATGGTACTTGTAGTATATGGCCATACTGTTTACGTGTGTCGTGGTGTAATGCCAGCAAGTCAGTCGTATCCGAGCCAGCGACGGGAGCGGACGTCCCAAGCATACAGTACTTTAATTAGAATGAAACGTCTTTAGTGTATTACTTAAGTAACATTTTATTAAAATTACTAATTTCACATATCCTTGCGTACAAATAGCGTATTCGAAATGCGCGGGAAAATGAATATACGTTCGTATGAGTGATCGGAACCACACGCAGTTTGTTACTTGAAGTGTACAGTCGGCGTCATAACTGTTCAGTTTTTTGTTGATTTGTTTTTGATTAAATTTAAATAATACAGAATGAACTCTTTATTATTTTAGTACAATTGTTAATTACATTCATTAAAACTGATTACCTAGAAAATAAAAAATCTCAATACCTACTCGTCAACTAGATTTGAAACATAAATCCATTGTAAATAGTATCGACTTGTTAACTTAATATATTTCAACGAGAAAACTTCCTTATAATTCTGTTAATTTTATTTTTTGCACTTTTCTATGTGACTGTAGCAATCTGCATTCGAAGGTCCATTAAGAAGCTACGTCGTTCAATTGTACAGACAGCGGGGCGCAGACACTCCGTCTTGTCTTGTCTCTGGCTTGTCACGTTGTGTTCAATTTAAAGTGGAGTGCAAGGAAGACGAATAAAATGTGATAAATATATTGAAAATTAGTGGTTGCGGTAAAGAAATTATACGATAAAAGTATTATGCCTGAGTTAATAAAAAAGGAACGGAGAAAAAATAAATTAGTTAAAAGACCACATACTTGTTTGCAAAAAAAAACATTCTCCTGAGTCGGGTAAAAACAATCGTGATATCGGAGCAATCATCAATTACTAATAAGCAATAAGAGGATGGAAAAGGTCGTCCATTAATTAATTGGTTTCCTTTGGGCATGATTTTTCGGCAAAAGGCTACAAATTAATACTATTAGATCAATCACTGCTTTTATTACATATGCTTTATGTACGAAATAATAGTGTATGGATAAAGTCAATAAGGAAATGTAAGTATATATTTTGTAGTGTGTTTCATATTAAAATTCCTTAAGATTCAGTGGTTTCATATAAAAGGAATACATCGAGTGACGACTCATTTTATATTGCACAAATAAAGTCGTGAACGTTATTTATTGAGGAACAAGACTTTAGACTAAATTACAAGAACCAAGAAAATAATGTGAATAATTTGTTTATGTATAATTTTAAAGGTTACAGAATATTAAGATATCTTAAGCTCGACATCAAATATCTAATGTAAAAAAGAAGAAGAAGCAAAATAAAATATGAATAAATCTTACACCGTGAGAAAATCGAATGAATAATTAAATCTGAGGAACATTTGAAAGGACTCTATTGATTTGAGGAATACAGTAAAGCAGAATGTAAGCCGGGGTGGGTCGAAATGGAAACGTTTCCTCGCTGTTTCCGAATCCTTAAGACGAAATCCAATTAGAGTTCCGCACAAACACAATTCTATCTTTAATTATGATTAAAATGTAATAGATAATGGATAAATTACATTGTAATTATCAGAGTGTAAAGAAAGGTCTTCTACAACATTCTTGTTCGTTGTACTGGAATGTTTTATTGATTTCTTTTACTAATTAAACAGGTGTCATTTGGTACTAATTTCTACTCTGTATAATAATTAGTGTCTTTAGTTAAAACAACAAACTAACAAAACATTGTAGCTATTATAATTTAGTTAAATTTTTGAACAATAATCTCGGTTTCTTTCAGTAGAAACTCCAGTCAAAATCTAGTAAATTCATTCTAAAACTTCTTGTTACAGAGTTCGCAGTAATGACTGTGGCGGGAGAAATCGAAAATCCGTTCCAGTTACTACACAGGCCAAACAAATAATGTAAAACTATGGACGCAACTTCCAGTCTTAACACACAAGAAATAAAGATGGATATCCCGAAGCTTAGCTTTTGTCAAAACAAATGCCAGAATGTATCGAGGATAACGACTATCGTTTTCAAACCACCAGATCCGGACTCGGTAAATCGAACGTTTATCGAAAGAAGTGAAAACGAAACGAACTTACGATCGATTTTCGATAACGATATTAACTCTAGTGATTATTATAACATTGAAAGAACGTTGAACGGGGATTTTTCTAATTTTAGTATCGATAATGTGACTTGTAGTGATGTGCATGGATATAATCTGTGGGCGTTGTCATTGTTGGTGTTTCCGGTGCTGACATTGTTTGGTAATGTGTTGGTGATACTGAGCGTAGCGCGGGAGAGAAGTTTGAAGACGGCAACTAACTACTTCATAGTAAGCTTGGCTGTCGCCGACCTTTTAGTGGCAGTCGTTGTTATGCCATTCGGAGTATACTATTTGGTAAGTAAAATAAAAACCATAGATAGTTGTCACCTATTGTTTTAAAATTCAAATCTGTATGGTGTAACATTGGGCTATAGTTCAACGGGTCCTGGGGCCTGCCTGCCTTCGTATGTGACAGTTACATCGCGATGGACGTCACCTGCTCCACCTCCAGCATCTTCAACTTAGTCGCCATATCTGTAGACAGGTAATACAAGACCATAACAATTACTTATAATATTAGTACTGCATTTCTTAGTCTCTTTTACACTACAAACAAATCCAATAATTGTTAGCCCTTGAATGTCAATATAAAAAGTTTGAAAGTGGTTTTTTCATATTTGACATTAAGATAGTCAGTCGAGAACAGTTGATTTTTAATTCCAAAGGCCCAAGGCCCTACATGCTTAAAACAAAATCATGGTATTTTATTTCTAGATACATCGCCGTAACTCAGCCTATCAAATATGCGAAGCACAAGAGCAGCGCTCGCGTGTGGCTCATGATAGGAGTCGCGTGGTTGGTGTCCGGCGCGATCGGAGCACCCGTCGTACTCGGCCTCAATGATGCCCCCGACCGAAGCCCTAACGCCTGCCTCTTCAATAACACTGATTACGTTATCTACTCATCCCTCGGCTCATTCTACATACCTTGCATTATTATGATGTTTCTCTATTACAATATTTTTAAGGTTAGCTGCTTTATTTATGTCCTCCTATAGTATCTACCCAACTTCGCAAGAACAATCGATTCCGAATCATATAAAGGGTGTAAACAGACCATAAACTTTTAAGATCTTGTGGCCCTCAATTTTTTCCTCAAAACTTATGAACCATCATCTAAGATATACCCTGTACAATTGCTTCCTTAAAATTTTATAAATGTTTTTGTTACAAATTAAACTCTACTCAGCTACATCCAAGAATTCAACGTAAGATATTTTTAGGCGATACGAAAAAGAGCAAAGAAGCAACGTATAGGTAAGCAGACTTCATCGGCAGTAGGCTCTACAGTTTCTAGTGGGACAGCTGCGGTCGTCGTTCACAATGTAAAGGATGTAGCGCGGCGTACTGACAGCGGCGTGCAAGATGACAAACCCACTAATACTGGTTCAGGAAGCAACGAGGACGAAGAAGATGAAAAGTAAGATCTTATAAATATTTTAATATTGCTGACGAGTTATTCCCGTGTTTTATCCGATTGAAATGTACAAATAACGACGTAGGCTTTGTACATTGGATGTCAATTACCGTTACCAGCAATATTGCTTCCTTGATGTTGGCAGCTTGTAGTTTATCGTCCCTTTCGGACATGATGGCCTTTTCCAATTTATTTACCCCTTAAATTTAATAGCGTGAAAATATATAACCTATATTCAAAAATATGATGTGATTGCTAAATCCTTCACCATGGAGTAATGTGTGTTTACGCTTTATTATATTAGTAAAGGTTTTAAAAGTATAGATAGATACTGTAGTTTATGACAAACTGTGTTCTACTGTCATGGCGTCATGCCAGCAGGACAATCTCATCCTTGTCACCATATATACTGTATTTGACTCTTTGCTGTATCCTTGTAACCGCTACCGTCGGTGGTTCAGATTGGACTGTCCTGCTGGCATGGCGACTTGACAGTAGACAACAGATTGTCATACAATTCATTTAGTATACAGTATGTATTGATCAAAACATTATAGTAACGTATAAGCTTTATTAGAATTATTCAATTTAATAATGATGTTAGGTCATTTTCTTCTAGCTTTGACAGAACTGAGATGGGAGTATTCGCAGATGAACTTGCTAATACAAGATCTACGAGGTTCATGCTAGCTGCTGTTGTGGAAGAGACCGGTCTGTAAGTAAGAAATGTACAGTTAATTCATAATCTTCATGATTTTTAATTTAATCGTAAACAAACTTAAAAGATTTTCAGAACTCAACGGCAACTCAGTTACTACTAAATAAATATACAGACAATTTCAAACCCCTGTCTTTTGGGAAGTCGGTTTAAAAGTAGAATGTTTTTCGATTATTATTAGATAAAAATTGTTCCATCTACCCTAGTATTAGAATTTCAATACTGTTTTTAGGATAATGGCAAATTTAGCATCACCAATTCCAATGATGGATCCAAACACGAACAACGATTCTGGATATGTGACGTCAAATATAGATGGAGAGAAGGAGCACACTCCTCCTCCATCACCGAGCAATAGAGCACAGGCAAATAAAGAAGGAAACAGTTCGGTGTCTAAGAAACCGGATTTAAAGTAAGTTTAAATTAAACTAAGAAATCCAACTGTAATAGGCAATATACACATAATAATAAACCAGACTTTTTTTTAAATTACTATGTTACTATAAAAGCATATCTATAAAGATATTTTAAAAGTAATAGTTTGTTTTTTAAAACTCCCTCGCCAAGTTCTAAAACGCAACGCTATTGGTTGAAGCAAGTGATTGGTAGATTAATCCCTTTTTGACTTTTGATAACTCTGAGAACCAATCAAATGCTTTGTTGTTTGGTGACGTCACAACACTCGGCTACACACCAACCGCGTTTTAGTCGCACCAAATTTATTGTGATTTTGTTACTTTTTAGCTCAACGGTTGCTTTTTTACATGTCAACTTATAATACGTTTAAAATTAGAAAAAAATGTATATTCCTAATTGACCTCAAAGCAAAGTATAGACTATAATTGTAAGCAAGCGATTTTGTGTTTAAATTGTATAGACGTGTTGTATTGTCTCTATTTTATATAGAAAGAAGTTAAGTCGTCTCAGCAATAGTGCGATGATCAGCACTCCAAGAAGAAGATTCAAGAGCGCGGCTTCCGCAGCGCGCTTCTCCATGTTCCGAGCTAACAGGGCGGGGAAGTTACGAGCCAAGTCTTTTGCCAAAAAAGAGAAAAAGGCTACACAAACTCTGGCGATTGTTTTAGGTAAGTTAGTCAATTTATATTTTTCTCTTATCTGTCATGGTACAAGCTATTCTGGTATCCTTCATCATCAAATTGCCCTTATCCCTTATGGAGGGTCGGCACAGTATGTGCTGCTCCATACATCTCTATCAGCCGTCATATCTGTATCCACTCCTTTCTTAAGCATATCCTCTTTCACACAATCCATCCATACTTTCTTTAGTCTTCCTCTACTGTATTCATTCGTTTTGGTAAATATTTAATTGCCAATGTCAAAATTCAAGTACACAAAGGACAACAAAGGTCTTTGAAATTGAATAACAATTATCTTTATCATGGCAACCATGCTTCCTTAATGTTGTCAGCTTGTAGTTTTTATCCCTTTTCTGCATGACGGGTTTTTTCCAAATTATTTACTCCCAAAGTTTAATAGTGTGAAAATATATAGCCTAAAGCGTTTCGCAAGTTTAGAATCTTTTATTAAAAAAAAGAATTATTCAAAAACTAGCTTTTGCCCGCGACTCCGTCCGCGTGGAATTAAAAAAAAACTGGAGGCCTATTTCTTCTAGACTATGCTCTAGGTCTATGCCAAATTTCAACGAAATCCGTTCAGCCGTTTAGGCTACAAACTCTAACAAACATCCATCGTTCCATCTAAACTTTCGCATTTATAATATTAGTATGATATCGTGTGATTGCAGACATCTTACGTAGCTAAGTAATGTGTGTTTACGCTTTATTATATGAGTATAGATTAAGTACTTCTATACTTCTAGCAAATGCTCACTACATATGTTACTATTTTAAATTTTAATTTGTGTATTTACTTTCTATTATTCACAGGTGTGTTCCTTTTCTGTTGGGCGCCGTTCTTCACGTGTTCAGTTCTAGATGCTCTTTGCACCAAGTTTGGGCTCTCCTACTCTCCAGGAGTGACCGTCTTCATCTTCACCACGTGGCTTGGTTACATCAACTCATTCCTCAACCCCGTCATTTACACCATCTTCAACCCTGAGTTCCGTAAGGCGTTCAGAAAGATTCTCCACTTCGGCACATAGCAAACAGACTTTTATCTTGTGTATACTTAATTTTTTATCCCAGCAGGTCCTACTGTAACTTGTCCAAAGCCAATAAAGATATAACAAAACGTTCAACCCTTAAAAGCCTGATTTTTTTATGAAATTAAAAAATATATAACTGTGTCCTTTACGATGTTTCCTAATGGGTGAGAATAGTAAAAAAACAAAACGATATTTTTCTATAAATCCATAACTTCAAAGGTAACATTTACGTGATAGGCTCCTTTCTGGTTTCTAACTTGAATATCAGTCTAATTAAACATGTAAATGCTTATTTAAAATAATATTGTAGATCCCAAATGCGATATAACCCCGGTATTATATTAAAAACTTCAGGTATTTAAGGGTTAAACGAATTTTGCATAATATAGTCAAAATGAGCGTATTGTCTTCACAAAGGGCATCGATGTTTTGTTGCCTTATTTCATAAAAACTAAAGATTATTCTAAATAAACCTAAAATATAGCAACGGATTTGATACTAAAAAAATAAAATGACAACTTAAATCTATATAGAAACCTTAGGAGAGAGTAATTTATGTTAAATCTAATCAAAGATATTTTGTAAATAAATCTGTAGATACGATTCCCTTAAAATAAAAATAAAAATATAGTTATAAATCCCTGTGCCTCTGTAAATAAGTTATAATCGAATATAGAACGAATTAGCTTAATCCTTACAACTTAAGACGACCTTGAATAACCACGCTTAAACTCTAAAGGCCTGTCCCATATCTGGCTGATAGAGACTCAGATAGGTTAAAAATGACGTCACTATCAGATAAAATAAAATCTGATATTTCCATCGCACATATTACACGTCGTAACTAACAATTTACAAGAATTTGTTAGGACTGACTGTAAATTCTATTAACATTCGACATCTGTCAGATTGTAAGTGACGCTTACGAAGTATAAGATTCGTTTCAATATTCGGTAATAAATGTGTAATACAATTATTTTTGTATGGAGTTACGCTGATATTATGTACTTTAGAAGCTGTATCCTTCGCATTGTATATTTGTATAAAACTATGTAAATATCTTGATTACTTCTGGTTGTGATATGTATAAAGTGATTTTTACGTAATAAAAGCTTCTATAAAAACTTTATTTGTACCCTTTGACAATTAAGTTTCAAGCCTTGGGACCTATAAATATTACGCTTTTTTATTTTAAGTTATTAAATTGTAAATATTCTTGTAAAACTCTTAGCTGTTTTAATATTTGTATATTTTGTTAATTTCATTGTTTATAGCAATAATAGGCCAAAGAAACTGTTTGTTTGTGAATGTAGAATATTTATGTACGTTATTAGAGTTGTGAAATTTATGTCTATTAAAAAATGTTTAGAATTGAATAATCCTAGTTTATTTTAATACCTCAAAAAGTCCAAGTAATTTAGCTTAAAAATGAGCGTACAATCTAATTGTTTAGTCGTGGGTTGTGAAAAATATGATTCAAGTCAATTATTTCTAAAAAAATAACTATTACTTGTAATAGTCTTTTAACTTTATTAGATTTAACTAGCTTTTCCTCCCAACACCGTCTGTGAAATTAAAATAAAACAAAAGGAAGTAGCCTATGTGTTATTCAAGACTACGTTCTACGTCTGTGCCACATTTCATCGAAATCATATCAGCAAGTTTGAGCTACGAAGTAACCAAAATCCATCCATATAAACTTTCGCATTTATAATATTAGTAAAATTAAATAAATGCAGTACAAAATTACACATAGTATTTTACATTGTATCAGTTCTCGTCTTGAACTACTGAGAATAAAACCCGACCGTAACTTAAGCGGTACATGATCGATACTTAGTTTAAACTTTGCCTGTAAGTTTCATATTACAGTCTGTAACGGGGAAATGAGCAGTTTAATCTGTAACTTTACCAAGTTTCCAGCTTCAACATTGTTCCTGTTAGAAAATATGCAGTTGTTTTTGACCAGTTTACGGGTAATGTAATCACTGACGTCTATTAATAGACAGGCTATGAGATGTGGTATTGCCCATTTGATGTTGCAGTTTGTAGCGGTGGTGAGGATTTGAACCAATTATAGTTAGAGTTAACTGTCAATAAATACAAGAAGCGCGTTTTAATTTGAACGTAACAAGAGCTGATAATTCCAAGCAATGAACTATCCATTTATACAGGATGAATGTAATTATTATTTCATTTGGTTTGGATTGTTGGTAAGTGTTGTTGCGTATAATTTATGTACGCAGTAAACCGATTTTTTTAGGTGTTTTTCTCAAACAAATTGATATTTTGAAAACAATCGTAGACGGCGTTTACATGGTGCGTGAACTTGTGTAAAATGTATTTGAAAATAGCTAGTAATTTTTAAGTTATTAAACATAACATAAAAGGAGAAGAAAATACTTTAAGAAAATTGATTTCAAAAATATAAAGCAACGTTTATTTAATAAACTGTATCTTATTGATATAGGCCTTATTAAGAAATAACATTGGTATTGTGCGAGTACGTAGTTTATCTTTTATTTTCTTATCCCGTCCCCTGTCTCGTAACAAAACGGAATGACAAAGGACTATTCAGTTTATAATAAAAGGTAAAAGATATAGCTCTGCTGCACGTGTATTTTATTACCTTTTATATCTTTTATGTATGGAACAATATAAAAGAAGCAATTAATAAGAAAAGAAAAGGATAATTTTGTATTATTTATTACTAGCTATCACTTGCGACTCCGTCCTCGTGGAAAAAAAACAAAAGTAAGTAGCCTATGTGTTCTTCCAGACTATGCTCTACATCTATGCCAAAATTGATCCAGATCCATTAACCAGTTTATGCTACAAACTCTATCAAACATCCCTCCATGCATCCATCTATCTAAACTTTCACATTTATAATATTAATATGATTATACATTTAATTATTACGAAAGTATATTAATATATAAATTAAGTATTCCCTTTCCGAAACTCACGTACAAATCATAAGGTTTTTATAAAAGAATATTGGGAGTGTTAATACGATTTTTGGCAGTCGAAAATCACCAACAGTCTCTACCACCAATACTTTACTGTTTCGCTGTTATATTTAAAATACGAAATTTTATATGCTTGAATGCATAGATGGATGGATAAATGCATGTTAGATTTCGTACCGTATATAGTCTGGAAGTGCTTCCACGCAATTAAAAGATTATCTACATCTGTGCAAAATTTCATCGGTTATCTGTTGAGCTATTCTTGATATACGTCATACATAAATCCATCCATATCGCATTATATTAGTATTAGTATGAAGTATGATTTTTATACGCACTTGGCCAGCGTGGTTGACTAAGGCCTATTCACCCCTTATTAGGGTAGGCTCTGAGCCCCTCGGTGGGGACGTATAGTGAGCTGGTGATGATGATGATGATTTTTTATGTAAATTTCATTGATATATCATCCGTGAGTTTCATATGTGAGTTATAAATCAGATCAACTTTGTTCATGATGTTGCAATTTCTTTTAGAATTCAGATTCAATTTAATATTTTCAGTTTCTCAGTTCGTTGTAAAATTGACCTGTCGCTTAGGATTTTCATCCATTTTATTTATAGCTTTCAATCATTTTTCCACCGAAGATAAAGGTTTTACAATTTTCTTTTACTTTTCTTTATGGATATCAAAATACATTTAAGATAAAAAAAGGATTTTCCAAGTTAAATAATGCAGTTTTATGTTGAAGTTTGAATTCGTAAATACACAAGCAATAGAAAACATGTTTTTGTATAAAACTTAACGAAATATTATCATAAAAATAATTTATAGGTATACGAGTTACTTGCTAGTGTACTAAGTTACTCTAATCGTTTAGTATGTAATTATTCCACGGAAATACAACATTTTATATGTTAAAGTTAACGCTTCAAGTTCTCTCTACATCAACACTTATGTCGTTAAGTGGCGTGGACGTAATCAGTAATTACAACACGAGGCAATTTACTACTCTCGGGTGACCCTCCTTCTAATTTATAATAAGGGTTGAATTTAACAACGAATAAAATATGTACATTAGCGTTTCAAAATGCAGTCTTCTTTATCTCTACCTAGCTGTTGCTCGCGACTTCGCCTGCGAGTAATTAAAAAAAATATAAAAAATGTAGCCTGAGCTACTCGGTGATAATATAGCTTTTTAATGATGCAAGAATTTTTTAAATCGGCCCAGTAATAATACAATTATTTCTTCTTTATAATATTAGTATAGACTAGCTTTCGTCCGCGACTCCGTCTGCTTAAAATGTCTGCCATCTGCCAAAAATTATTACTCCCTTTTATAATGAATTTTAATAAAAAAAATAATTCTCCAGAGAATTAATTTTCAATTGCCATCGCGATCGCGTGCACGGCTATTCTAATCCATTTTGAAATAATTCACCATAACTATGTGAAATATAGATATAAAAGAAATCTAGGTCGAGGATTAGTTGGGCTAGGAAGATTAAAATAACGTAGAGTTAAAATAAAATGAAAAATACTGAAATAAATTCTATTTACAATTTGTATAGCAATATCGAACATTCAAATTTCTAAATAATAAACAATTAGTTTAAATTGAAATTCAAATAATACTAGACACTTAGTAAACAATGAGGATTTTCTATTATGAAAATACAATGAAAATTCGTAGAAATTATGAAAGAAAAACAATACAATTAAAATCAAAATTCAATTTACTAGAACGATGTCTATTTAAAATGTCTACTTGGTTAATTGAAATGATATTATTATCTGAATATTGAAAATGTGGCTAAGAAAATTCAAGCTACGTTTAAAAAGGTTATCTTTACGAGATTTATATTGACAAGATTGTACAAGACAACTCCATTAGACCAATCCCTAGAAACGAACACGTCCATAGAAATAAAAGGATCTAATGATATGGAAATAAGAATCGTGAAAAATAAGTTATAAATCCTACTATATACCTCCATTAGTTAAATAGTCGTTTAACTTTATTATTTATTGGTTAAAATCGTTTTGAAAGCTTACGCATAATGTTTTAATACCATATGTCAACAATCCGCGCC